TATGGAATTTAGGTTGGGTACTTTCATGAATATAGCACAAGACTTTAAAAATGACATATTTCCCATAATAACATTTTTACCTTATTACAATAATGCTTATTAAACTAAAGAAATTAAATAGACAATAAAATTAGACAAGTCATTCAAGTAGTATCACTAGCATTTGTAGATGAAAAAGATCTTTCAGCTTTCTGCTTAAGATTTTTGTTTAGTATTCACCTCCTTGATCTCAAATGGCAATGCATTCCGGTTTTTAATAGCATTATAGAAAAAAACATGAAGACTCTTTCTCTATAATCTTAGGAATAAGAAAATTGTTATTTGTAGCACTTCTTGTAATATTATTATTCAGTACAAAATTATCATGGAGGTAAGAGATAAGCAGGTGCATTCTTCTGATATATATCAAAAACACGGTTTAAATCTTAATTATTTAACTCTATCCTCCACTCTTAACATATTTATAGAGTCTAAAATATTATTAGAAATATTCTCTCTTAGACAGAGGTTTAAAATGAACCGTACTACTTTTTTGGGAGGTTTCTCGTAATCTGTGTTTAAGGTATGTCACTCGTGAAATTTGTGAAATCAAGGATTTATTGAGAAGTATATTTTTCATAAGTACTCATATAGAGTGACTCAAAATCGCAGAGAAAATAGGGATTCAGTGTTCATCTTACTGATCTACGGTACAATGAAGTTGACCTTTTTGCACTTAAATTTTAACTCTGGTTAATTACTTAAACCTTTATTATATTTTATCAGATGTAACCATGGCAAAAAATACATATATGTATTATCTTATTTTACGTAAAATATTTTGAAAAATATTTATCATTGAAAACATCTTGCAAATCAATGCGCGTAAATTATTGTGTGACCTTTTTGCACTAAAAAGTAACAATTTTGGGGTATTAAAAAACTAAATAGGCAATTAAACATTTTCTTATATCAAGCTTTTTACGACTTAAGTGCTGATCAGTCACAAGTATCGAGTACTTTAAAATAATGAAAGAAAAAGTTGGGGTCAGTGATGTTAATTTTGAAATTTTGGTCAAAATATGTAATTTTCAGCCAAAAAATGGTGTTAATTTTATATTGACTTATTTGACATATCTTCATTTTTTGGCAAAGTTTGTGGAAGGAAGGTGTAAAACTTGTTCTAAAAATATAAATTAAGACCTATATTAAACATTCCTAGCAATATCATAACGGAAAATATTCTCCGAGTAAAAGTATGGGAGGCTAAAAGTCCAAGATATTAAATTTAATAAATGTGCAGATTTGCAGAATTATCTGCTAAATATCCTTCCACCACAAAAAATAGTCCCTCACAAATCTTGCTTCTTTGTAGCTTTTTGAGCAGTTTTTTTGTTGAATGTTAAAACATTAACATTGTTGAAATTAAATATGTTATAAAAATTGAATTTTGATAAATAGTTTTGAAGTAAGAGGTTCTGCGTAAACTTTTCCAAAAAGCTGACGAGTGACCTACCTTAAGTTGCTTGTTTATTCCACAATACCAAGAAGAACAGGCATAATTCAAAGTAACATTGTTTCAAGGCAGACGAGTCTTTCTAAACTAAGACAAGATGCGTTTCTATATAAAAAATTTTGCTAGAGTTAGATCTTGTTAGATTAGTGAAAATACTTTTGAATAGGAAACATCACTTGGTTTGGATGGAACTTGCTGCTAAATAGAATGTACATCAAAATTAATTGAATGCATTGAGGGTAAAACAGTATTGCCAGTAATTTTTTTTTTTACTGCAAGAAATCAACAACAATGAAAGCATTCTTTTGAAGAATTCCCTTCAAGGTACCAGGTATAGTACTTGTACTTGAGTGTACATGTATATGCACTTGGCATAGTAAATGTAATAATTTATCATTACTTTTTTCTGCCAGAAAAGCATTATCATTCATTGTTAAACATGTGTTCGTCATTAAACTTACGAGGGTTGATCCAAAAGTTCGTGGAATTTCTTTCTAAAATTTTATCGTGATTTGATGAAGGCAAAAAGTAGGCATATTTATAATTTAGAGTCATAATGCAACAATATTGGAAAATTTCACCACTTTCCAATTATCAATAAGGTCACACGAGCTTTCGCAAAATGGATTGTTGTGAAACCCGGGGGAGACTTCGACGTTACGTCAAGTTTGATATGTCACGTCACGTTATAGAAGCATCTCACCCTAACGTCCAATTCGAATACGTAATTCTACAAAATGCTGCCCTTTTCTCCATTTTTTTTCTCAAGAAAAGCCATGGTATACTCTCGCACCAACTTATCTTCATTTTTCACTCATATTTTAAAATACTCCCAATCTTTCCATACGATGTTCCAATTTCAGTAGCAATGTCAAGAACAGTACGTCAGCCTACAACGTCCATTAACGCTTTTAATTTGTCTAGGTGGATAAACACTTAAAACAGAGCCTCCAAAAAGCACCCCCCCCTTTATGAACGTCCATGGACGTTCTATTTTCTTAAATTTCTTATGCCACTGGAAAACCAGCAACTAAATGCACTTTAACTCAGCCTATGTCAATAATATATGCGTTTCAGATAGAGTGATCCCAGAATTTTCAACAAAACTTGTGACTTGACCGAAATTTGACGTTGTCTAACAACTTAAAGATGAACAATTAATCACCAACTAATAAACTAAATATCCAGAAAATTCAGTAAAACTCTCATACAAAGGTTTATAAAAGATCAAGTAATCGTAATAATGACATAATTTTCGTTTTATATACAATGAAGCGCATTGAAGTGGTAAAATTTTCCATTTGGATGAAACGTTCTGAGTCATGTTTTGACCGTCAATTATAACATAACGATACGCCCATTTCTTTAGAAACGAGAAAGAAATATTTGTCGTAATGTTTTAGGACACCCCACTTTCCGCGACAAGTAACATGAGTTACACTAAAATGAAGATTTTTAAATAAGAAAAAACTATATATAGAGTCCCCGCTTCTGTAAAACACGCATTGCAACGAATTTGTACATAATTATGATTTTATCCTGTTTATTGGAGTTAGCATAACACATGTATCAGTCGAACACGTGCTTACTCGGTGTTTATGAAGACCGTCAATTTGATTGGTTATTATATTTATGGAATACCTGTTCTACAGGTATTCTATTGAATCATTTGACCGATTTTTCTTTTCTAAAGAAATGGGCGTGTCTTACTATAGCTCAGAACGCTCCATCCAAACGGGAAATTTTTCCACTTCAATGCGCTTCATTGTACCACATAGGGCGGTTTTATTCCCATTTCACGTATTAAGAATTAAAATGATAATAAACGCGTTAATGTCTCCCCCGCATTTCCAAACAACCGTTTCTATGGCAACTGCCATAGATTTACTATCATAAATATTAAAATTGTTTTTTATTTATAATATTCAACAAGTGTCTATATTCTCATGTGTAATTTTCAAGCAATTTTACTTAAAACTAATAAGATATGAAGAAATTCCACGAACTTTTGGATCAACCCTCACTGTTTGAAATCAAAGTTGTGCAAGCAGTCTGCTAGCATTCTTTTTGTGTTGTCTAGCAGTATAACTGAAATAATATTATAAAAATTAATTACATAGCAGATGTTATATCCTAAAACAAGGATTGTATTTTGGAGTAATGACAAATTTGCATGACAGTAACTATCCTTTAAATATCACACATGATGTTTGACACGAAAGATCTTCTGAAACTGTTGCAAGCGAAGAATGGTTGGGTTTTTGTTGGGCGTTTTGTGTCTTATTTTCCCTTCACAGGTCGATTCCTCCGGAATAAAACCACATCCCTTTGTGAAAGGTAGGTTTTCTCTGAAACATACATGTATACCTGAAATATATGTTATAACTTTTTGTTAACCGTCATTAATTTTGTACGTAAAGTTTACTTTTTTCCTTTAATAATTTTTTTTATATCTATAAGCTGTATAAAAACTTTTTTAATTCTTACATAATGAATTCTATCTTTGATAATTTATATGTAGAGAAAATGTAAAAAATAAATCATTAAGAAGTGAACACTTTCACTTATTTTACAACTTAATTTTTATTGTTAAGTAAATTTCTTAAGGTGAAGTTGATACTTTCCTGAAGCATGCCCCTTGGGAGCATACTGAAATGTCGGCATCTCTTGATGGCCCCATGATTCTTACAGTGAAATCTAAATACAAACTGGACGGAGGAATTGTCTTCTCGAAAAAGTGCAAGTTTGTTTAGAGTTTATAAATCAGAATGCATGATAAAGCTATTTTTATATATTTACGCTTTTCAATTTAACCCTTGGTTTGCAGTTCAAACCAAGTACAAAGATTGCGCTGACATTTTAAAAAAGAAACCATATCGGAAATATAGAGATGGCGTGTAAATTTATCCTGAAAAAGGGATGAAAAAGAAAGTGTTCTGTGACATGACAACAGACGGCGGGGGTGGACGGTACGTATAGTGTATGTTAAAATTGTAACAACCACAATATTCTTTAGAAAATTTCAAATCTTCCTACGGGTATTTCACGATGTGTTCGTTGTGGACGGGCGAGGGTAGGGGTGAGGGTCAATATGTTGTTTGAATTTAAAGACTTCGAGCATCGAAGACATTGAAGTTGATTTCAACAACTGAAAAAAGACTGATTTTATGTTATGCAATTACACACTTGCTGTTTGAAGTGCAAGTGATGGAGGGTATTAAACTGATCATCCACCCAATCTGTTATTCTCTCGGTTAATGTTTCGTGGGACTATTTTTGATTGGAACGATTACATGGTTTCTTTAGTGATTTTGCAAATAATGTGAAAAAAATGTGTGACAAGCCTGGGTTAGAATTTTGGCAGGAGGGCTCCTGTCCACAAGGACCCTTGTCCTAGAACCTAAATGAAATTTTATACTGTGAAAATCTTGATCCTTTCTTTATTACACCCAAACACCAACGAATAAAGTCATTGTTTATTCATCGATAGGTTATTCAAAGACGCATGGATGGCTCAACAGATTTCCAAGGGAAAAAGTGGGCAGATTATGCTAGAGGTTTTGGAAATCCCACATTAGAATATTGGCTGGATATTCTATGATTACTGAGAATTTCCTCTTTAAAAAAAGCTTCTTGTCCATGGTCTGTAAATCAAACACAATCATGAAATCAAAGGTTGAAACACACAATATAAAGCAAAAATAAATTATTTGAGTAAAGGGCTTTTTATTTGAAGTTCTTTTTGAAAAAAAAAAAGATCATTGTTCTGTAAAACGAATAAGAATCTTTAATTTTAGGAAATGATGCAATCCATGTTCTTACTAAAGCTGGGAACCAGAAGTTACGGATAGATGTAACCAGATTTTCAGGAGTTAGTGGAAACGCTACATATTCAACTTTCATTGTCAACAATGCAACAAACAAATATAAACTTACCATTGGAGGATATAAGGGGTCCGCTGGATTCAGTATGTTACTGAGTGATTAGAAGTGATTAGAAATATTATATACAGAAAAGTCACAGAAACATATGGAATCCGGATAGGGCCACGCAGTTCACTATCGCATCATCGCACCATCGAGGTTTAGGTCGATAGTGCGATGAAGAGATAATGCGATGACGATGAGGCGATGGTGCGATAGCGATGAAGTGATGGTGCGATAGCGCGATGACGATGATGCTATGGCGCGACAATGCGATGACGATGGTGCAATAATGCAATGACGCGATGGTACGATGACGCGATGGTGCGATAGTGATGACACGATGATGCGATGACGATGGTGCGATAGTACAATGACGATGAAGCGATATTCACTATCACTCAATCGTGCTATCGCACCATCGCCATCGCATTATCGCGCCATAGCATCATCGTCATCGCGCTATCGCTTCATCGTTATCGCACCACCGTTTCATCGTTATCGCGCCATCGCATTATCGCGCCATCGACCTTGAAGTTGATGCTCGATGGTGCGATAGTGAAGTGCATGGCCCTATCCGGATTCCATAGAAACAAGAAACTACTCTCTCTTTATAGTTTAAAATATATTTTTTATTCATTGAATTGGATTGAAGAGCAGGCATAAGTGCCTATGATCGTTCTCTCCATGAAGTTACTCTCTCTTTATGTGAACGGTAGAATGTTCAAAGATTGGTTTCTACTTTTAGAAGATAACATGTCCTACCATAATGGCATGTATTTCTCCACCACTGACAGTGGTAATGATCAGTATGGAAGTAACTGTGCTGAGAAGTTTGGGAATGGTTGGTGGTTCAATCAATGCCACAGGTCCAACTTGAATGGGAAGGATTACAGAAAGCCTTCCTCGGCATTCAATGCCTTGACATGGTATAAATGGTCAGACAAGAATTTACATGGACATTTAAAGTCGGCACAAATGATGATTAAACCAAAGTGATAATTTCAAAACATTGTTTTTGGAAGAGCAAAAAATGATACCTAATAATAATAGAAAACCAACATTTTCTTACTTTAGATTTTACTTCCAATTAAGAATGTAGTTTAAAAGAATACCTCAACTTTTATTAACTAGAAATTTTATTTACCATCGCACATACAAACATACCTCACAGACTCACATACAAAGAAAACAAATATGAAATATGACAGCCCTAGCACCGAATCAATGATCAATGTTAAAAAGTACAATTTAAGTACACAAAAAGTATTTTCACAATGAAAACAGTGCAAAATTTGAAAGACCAAGCTTCAGCCCTTCAAAAGTTATAAATAGCTAAAGTATAATTTTATTTTTTTTTGGGGGGGGGGGGATAACTTGGGGGGGGATTTTGGGGGGGGGGGGCAGGCAGACTTAAAACTTAAGGCTCCGAATCCCCGATAACTTGGAAATAAATAAGTATTCATAATTAGAAGCGCTCGATGATAACAGCAAATATATTTATGGTAAGTTCTTGCCAAGATTACGAATCGTAATAATTCTTCAAATGCATTATTGTACTGAAGAAGAAAGACGTTATATAAATTAAAAATTAATTGAATCTGCATAACATCGAAGTGAACAGTATTGATAATAATTGAAAGATAGCTCAGCTAGGCTCTTAACCCATTTTTAAAAACATGTAATCAAAATATGAATTGTAATTGACCTTTAAAATTCAATCACAAGAAATCCTCAAGAAAAATTCAACTAGCCCGAACTCGATATACCTAGATCATCAAGTTACAAATGAATAAATAAAATATTCCATCAACTCTGTATCTTAAATAATTATCTTTATATACTAATTAAAAAACCAGTAAAAATTCAGATAAGATGTTGAAATAATCATGATTTATGATCTTAATAAACTAAAAAGCACGTTACCTATGAACTAAAGAAGATGGACTTATATGTCGAACTACTGTAAAATAAGCTTGTGCATTTGTACAGTCGACTTGTGTCAATATTCACTAATACAAGATCAATAACCCTATACATTGTATTATTCATCCTTATTCTAAAAAGTATCGATGTAAATCTAGGAAATTAAAATACTGTAAGGTCCAAAGGAAAAAAAAATATAAAGCGTGCTTAATATAAATACTTGATAACTTTTTAAATATAAGTACATGATATTTTTTAAAAATATGAATACATGGTAATTTTTTCGCAATGAAATATGAACATGACGCACAGCAATCAAGCTTAAAAAAAAATCCATGGAAATTGTACAAGTTTGGAGCAGAACAAACAACAAACACGGATATTTAAAAACCTTTGATGTAGGATTAGGTGCCCTAAAGAAGTAAGCACTGATAGAAAAACAAAAACAAGATTAATCTTGTTAATGATCAATAGACAGAAAATTAATTTTGGAAAATGACATCGAAAGATTGAAATCTTTCTGTTACTTCTACTTTATTACGTATAGAAACCTACAGCATATTGTCCTCATGCAATTGTTAAAAATCACTTTAGAAATACTTAAGATACTAACCTATAAAGGAGCATAGATAGGCTGAATATTTATTTCAGCGCTCAGTGTGGGGTATATTCGCAGCTATAACTACAACCTCTATAGTCTTGAGCAAAAAGATGACAATGAACTTTACAAGGTTATCTCAGGTAAATAAACACTGTGTTGAAGGATCCGAAAGTCAGTGACCAACTGATACCACGTGATCTCTTCGATAGATCCCTGAAACTCACCGCAATGCGCAGTTAACATAACAGTTGATAACACCAGCGTGTACTAGCTAGTGCTGGAATATGGAAGCGAAATATCTATTACGCACGCAGTATGTATAATTCATTTTTAATATTCAACAGTTTTTAAAGTGGATTTTGAATTCAATAAAATTTAATTCTGAAAAGTATCGACGCAAACTAGAATAGAAAGTTATTAAAGGTAATTGAGTGAACATTTTCATGTACATTGTATTTGCCAGTACTCTGTAATCGAAGAGATTTTTGATTATTTTAATCGTAATTTTATCAATGATAGCGACAAAATGTAAGTGTTTGTCTTTGTTTAATAAACTTCAACCATAAAGAAATGTACATTTTAACTTAGTTTTGCTATTTTAGTTTATTTTCTAGGACTTGTGGTGGGATATTTAATTAATAAAACAAGAAATGAAAACTAAAGTACAATTATGCAATACAAACTAATTATTTGGTAGATTTTTTCTTTAATTTCAGAGGTGAAACATTGATAATACAGATGCGTATATTATTCGACAAGTGAAGACGTGTTCAGAAAACTTTACAAGGTATTTTTAGCTCTTTTTTTCATTTCAGACACAATTAACAATACATATGAGCTGCTAACATTGGACGTTGCATTTGATCACTTTTCTTAAGAAATGTTTCACAAAATAAAGCTGGATATGTTATGAATTTAAATTACAAACATATTTATAATACATAAATAAATTTCAGATGCGGAATATAGATAGTGGCTGGGCCTGGATGGTCATGATGGCAGCCTTCGGTAGTCAGTTTGTGACAGCAGTGTTAAGTTACGGTGTTGGTGTGCTGCACAATGCATTTCTGAGTGAATTTAAGGAAAACTTGACACTAACAGCACTGGTCGGATCAGTATTTGCAAGTCTCCTTAGTCTTCTAGGTAGCTTCCCAATATTACTCCCACAGAGAGAGAGAGAGAGAGAGAGAGAGAGAGAGTTGCTGCAATGATCAAACATAAATTGAATTTAAAAAAAACAGCTAAATTGCACTTTAAATAACTTTTAATTTATAGGACTGTATTGACAGGTCCTTTAGTGAGTTTTGTCATCAACAAGTGGAGTTGTAGAGTAGCGGGCATAATTTCAGGAATTTGCCTTTTTACGGGACTGGTTTTTAGCGTCTTTGCTCCTAATCTTATCACTTTGATATTCACTTTTGGTATTGTTGCAGGTAAGTCATGATTGATTTATCCGATTCTTCTTAGTTGTTTCGTAACTTTATAGCAACATTATTTTTCATCTCGAAATACATATAAATACAACATCTAGCTTTGTCAACGAAGATATAAATTTGAATTTAAAGTAATTTTTACATGTATAAAATATTACCCCATGTAATTAATTATACATCTTTATTTGTAGGTAGTGGGCTTGGATTCAGTGCAATAACTTCTGTTATTGTAGTTGGATATTCCTTTGAGAAATACCGTGGATTAGCTGTTGGTTTAAATGTGGCCGGAGCGGGTATTGGGATGTTCGTTGGTGGCCCTTTAATTCAGTTCCTGATTGACCAATATGGACTGAGAGGAGCTCTGCTAATGTTAGGAGCTTTCGGAAGTCACAACGTCGTCTTTGGTGCTTTGATGAGGCCAACTGAAATTGAAATGTCACACAAGCACTTAGGAAAGGCTTTATCAGAAAAGAAAAACATTTCTAATTTTCGTTGTGACATTCTCAGGGAAAAATCTTTTCTTTGCATTCTTATATCAGCATTTCTGTGGAATGTACCGTACACGATTTTGTACCTTTATCTGCCACGATTTTCAGTTGTTAACGGTGCCACGGAAATGGAGGCTGCCTCGCTGATTACAATGTTAGGACTGGGGAGTACCCTTAATAGACTCTTAGCTGGACTGATTTTAGGTCCAGGTGGAATAGATCCTCTACTTCTCAACTTTGGTTTTCAGGGAATATTTGGTCTTGCAACTGTCACCTTCCCATTTTATTGTACTAATTACATGGGGCAAACTATTTACGCTTTTATTTCTGGTATTTATAGCGGAGGATTAATTGTCCTTATAAACCCTCTCTGTTTAGAAATAGTTGGCATCTCTCAGCTGTCAACAGCTGTGGGGGTATATTTTACGTGGTCGGGAATTGGTTGTATTTCAGCAGGACCCTTTGCAGGTAAGGATAACACTATTGGATGTGTTTAAATCAGCTTAAGATATTTTAAAAGTACATTGTCGGGAAAAATTCTAAGAATTAATTATTTTTGTTTTCTCACAGGGCTTTTGATCGAGAATGGTTTTACGTATGAAGGTGTATTTTTTCTGTCAGGTAATATAATGTGTACTTTTAAAATCCCTACAATTACATAAATTGTTTTGGATATAAGTACGCAGTACCTTCCAACAAAATGATAGCTAGTATTTTTAGCATTTTTTTAATTATTTGAAATAAAAATAATAATGATGACAATGGAATGTATATGTCTCCTAAAGCTTTCAACCCATTGATTAATTTCAAAATTATAGACATATCATTCGTTTATAGCCTCATGAGATAAATATAGCTTCCACATACATGTAGTTTGTTCAGCACTAGATCCGTACTAAATCTGTTGATGCCGTTTTGCAAACATTATATTCATTTGTAAAATGTATCCTCCCTGAAGAACTGAAAAACACAAGCATTTGAAAATGTTTTAATATCTGCAATAATGATACTAGTAATTGTTATCTTTCGAACAGGTTCAATGTGCCTTTTAGGGGCTTTTTCTACTCTGTGTGCATCTCTGTGGTACAACACAATAAATCAAGAAGAAAAAGCTGTCTCCTTTGTGGACTTCAAAGAAAGCCGTTTTCTTTCCGGATCAGCATATTTTTCTGGATCTTTCACTGTTATTGTTGATGCTGAAAACAGGCAGAAATTTAAGAAAAGCTCCGAAAGTGTTGCCAGAACATCAAATGGTATCCCGAGCATGGAAAGTCTTTTCATGGGCACACATTCACTGCTTGGAGGTAGAAATTCCCATACAGAGGAGAGATCTTCTATACTAATACATGGAAATTTTACACCAAGCTCAAATCGAAAATGGTTGACAATTCCTGGTCAAGGTATAAACCACTCGCAGGAAGGCTTACAAATTCAGGAAATTAGACTGCTACATAATGATGACACAGACAGCTGATGTGATTTAATACAGAACTCATTTCAATATCTGGAAAATAAAAATATATGCAATTCAAACGAAAACACCACTTCCGTACCTTGACAGGAGTGTCTATGCTTTGATTTCTTCTGATTTTCTTGTAATAAAATGTTTGACTACATAAAGGAACATTTTAAAAACTTATTATGATCGAAATTGACCATTATATTCTTGTTGAACATGGGTATTTGGAGTGACAAGAGATCTTAAGAATGATATATTGATGAGAAAGGCATTGTTTGTGAAATTTTAATCAAAATTTAATATAAGTTATAAAATGAGAATAAATGGATATATTTTTTGGCATTGCTTATTTTTTGAATTATTCTTTTTCAAGAAAGTCCCCAAGAAACACACTTTTCTCCAAAAATGTAAACCATTTTCTATTCGATGGGGGTTTATTAAAAATTTTAAAAGTTTATTTTGTATTCACTTTTTGAAATCATTTAACTAGACGAATTAAATCTTAAAAGAATTCGAGTAATTCAAAAAATGAAAAAAAGATAAGGTGTTTCAATGCTGACTGTATTGAACACATACGTATATGAAGGGTCATTATCTATTTCATTCAACTTTTGTTCCTGAGCAGCGTCTCCAAGTATATCTTTTGGCAAAAACATGTGTACACCCACAATGTAATGGCAAGATAACAAGTTGACTGTTGATATACCCCCCTCCAAAGACATCCAAGTTGGAAAAGGTGTAGACCTGCTTGCTCAGACCAAACCAACGAAAAAATGCATCAACAATTTAAAATTCTTACTTGAATTTTTCGAGACACCAAACAATCAAAAAATTTTGCAATTTGCCATTAATATTGACTTAAATAGACTGCAAGGCCTTTTTAAAACTAAATTTCCACAAAACAAACATTGACAAACCTGCATTCGTTTGCAAAAAACGTAATAATTTTTAAAAAATAATGTTTACATTATAGTGTAATGACTTGGATGTGCTACGTATGCCGAAGTAGTAGTAAGGGTTTGCTATTGACATATATTGCTCTTTGTGTGAAAACCCCTGCTACTATATCGGCATAGTACATTTGTATATTTAAACAATAGCAATAATATAATTATCATGCTGTCACTGTTATAAAATCAAATATCAAACCTGTTGACCGAAGTTAATTCAAAATGAATGAAACAATGGAGATAATGAACAGTATTCAAGATCAAAAATCCAATAAAACAATACAAAAAAGGAGCAGAGCAAACACGGACCTCCAAAAAATCAGAGGTGGGATCAGGTGCCATGGAGGAGTGAGCATCCCCTGCCAACCGATCACACCCGCCTTGTGCTCCTTGTCATGATCGGGAAATAACGGAGAAATCCCTCGTCAATTCAGTGTATAAATAATAAAGATTATTTTATGGAATATACAAATAATCACTCTTAATTGACGGAAGTAACATGTAAGTCATATGGAAAGAAGAATCATTTAGGTTCAACTTGTTTAAGCACACCCACAGGAAGTGAACTGTAGTACAACTTAACAAATTTCTCAACTTCCTCTTCACAATCTCCCGCTGAAGCAGTCACATTGTTAGTTCCAAGTATAGCTAAAATCTACCATCATCGGCAAGATGCCTCCAGTAAGAACAAAAAGACGGACACTCTCAAGGAAACAGATTGAAACCCAGCAAGTGTCACCAGCCAGGGGACGACCAAGGCCTAGGAGAACAACGGATGGCGCTTCCCAAACATCAACATCAACGTCCGCAGCCATTGTTAATGTGGCTGCACAACCCGATTTCGCCAACTCAACAGACGAATCCATCAACGCAAACGGTGAGTCAATAATGAATCTACCAACTATTTTTGAGGAAGCAACACCTCAGACTCTTGAATTTACACCTCTAGACGTAGATGAATATCAGCCAATTCAAACTCAAACTACTTTTGACCCATTAAGTGGTCACATTCCACCTAAACTGAAACAAAAAATATGGGAGGGTAAATTCATTGATTTGGCCTTACTGTTAAAATCCGCCCGGGAATTGGCTAATGAGATGGACTCAAAGGGGGAATTACAAATTAGGGATGGGAAAATGTGCTTAATCAAACAGAAGTCTAATACATACTTGTCTATAGACAAGTGGACGTCTGCCTTTATCATTTTCTCCAGCGTTCTACTGGAGAAATACCGCACTAGGGCACAAGAGTTGCTAAAGTACATGCGTGACATTCGTCTCGCTGCATCAAAGTCTGCAGGTTGGTTCAGGTATGATGAACAGTTTAGATTAAGAAAGGTTTCTGACCCCCATTCATCATGGGGCCAAATCAATAGTGAACTTTGGTTACTTCATATCACCAATTCTAATGTCACATACAATTCAGAGCCAACACCCAAATCTCGTATGCTCCCTTACAATCAGCAAAACAGGTCAAATTTACAAACGACTACCCATTACTGCAACATTTATAACAGTGGTAAAAAATGTCAATTCTCACCCAATTGTAGGTTCAGACACTCTTGCAGGTTGTGCAGCGGGACCCATCCAGCAATCAACTGCAGAAAACAACAGTACAACCACTAATTACCATGTCCCGTCTAACACCAATGTATACACATTGGGCAGCACACCAATCAAAATAATTCCACTGCAAACATTTTTAGAAACATACAAAGAGAAAGAATTTTTGATAAATGGTTTTCAATTTGGTTTTCAATTACAATAGAATGGCCCCAGAAGACCCAGAGAAGCTAAGAATCTAAAAAGTGCATATCAGCACCCTGAAATTGTTCAACAAAAAATAAACAAAGAATTAGGTCTTAAAAGAATATGTGGCCCCTTTCAGCATCCCCCTTTCCCAACACTTCAGATTTCACCTCTAGGACTTGTACCTAAGAAAGATGGGGATTTCAGACTTATCCACCACCTATCATACCCAGAAAATGACTCAATCAATTATTACATAGATCAATCAGCTTGTTCAGTTCATTACTCCCACATTGACGACGCAGCAGGCATGATTGCCCTTATGGGAAAAGGTACATTGTTAGCTAAATCAGACATCAAGTCAGCATTCAGACTCATACCTGTCGCCCCCTACGATTTTGATTTGCTAGGTTTTAAATTTCGTGACGAATATTATTTTGATAAAATGATGCCATTTGGTGCCTCTATCAGTTGTGCAGTCTGGGAAAAATTTGCTACTGCATTGCACTGGATAACCCAGAATATCTCACGTAACCCAAATATCTTGCACTACCTTGACGATTTCTTATTCGCAGGCAAATCGCATTCTCAGCAGTGTGCAAACACCCTATCTGTATTTCAAAATATTTGCCAAGAGTTGGGGGTCCCAATAGCACAGGAAAAAACCACAACCCCTGCCACAAATTTAATATTCCTGGGTATAGAACTAGACACAATAGAAATGGAAATGAAACTCCCACAAGACAAGTTGGCCAATCTCAAGCATACCATACAAACTTGTTTGTCTAGCAAAAAGATCACCCTTCAATCCCTACAATCCCTCATTGGCCTGCTTAATTTTGCATGTAAAGTAGTGGCACCTGGGAGAGCATTCTGCAGGAGGCTAATCGATGCAACCATAGGCATCCGGAAGCCGCATCATAAGTTAAGAGTTACTTTAGAAATGAAAGCCGACTTGCTTGTTTGGTTGAAATTCCTACAAAATTACAATGGAGTCACGGTAATATCAAACAACATCTGGACATCAGATACTTTCTTACAGCTATTCACTGACAGCGCTGGGGGGCAAAACGGGGGGTTCGGAATCTTTTTCTCTGGGAGTTGGGCTTATTCAAAATGGCCACAAGATTGGGTGCAATCTGAAATCATCCGAGATATGACATTTTTGGAATTGTTTCCAGTATATGTAGCAGTTCTGATCTGGCACCAGTCTCTAGCAAACAAGCGTATATTATTCCACATAGATAATATGGCCGTGGTACAGGTTTTGAACAACTCCACATCCAAATCTAACAAAGTAATGAAAATTGTCCGAGAATTGGTCCTTATTACTCTAGAGTATAATATCACAATAAAAGCACAGCATATCCCAACTAAACAAAACTCTATAGCAGACTGTATTTCTCGTTCACAGTGGACAAAATTCCACCAGCTGGCACCGGACGCAGAACAGTGGCCCACACAACTTCCACCCCAGATATGGAACATCTGGTCGCCGAATCAGAGCGATTAATTCAAAATTCTATCTCTCAAAACTCCAAACAGGTTTATAATGCAGCCCTTAAAAAATTCCATGGCTTTCTCAAATCATACAATCTAAAAGAAATTTGGCCCATACCTACAGACATAATCCTCAACTTTATTGCTTATTTGTCAATACAAGGGCTTTCCGCAAACACAGTCGAACTCTATGTACGGGCACTTTCCTTTTACCACAAGCTAAAAGGATTACAAGACACCACTAAGTCATTTCTTATAGCCAAAGCACTTGAAGGTCTCAAACGCACAATAGGTAGAGCAGTGGATACTCGCTGCCCAATCACCCGCCCTCTGCTTAGAGAGTTAATCTTATCTCTACCCGCAATATGCTCCTCACCATATGAAGCCACGTTATTCACGTCTGCATTTTCTCCTGCTTATTTTGGCTTACTCAGGGTACGGGAATTTACCAGCACAAACAAAGGGAAGTACTCGCACTGTATACAATTTCAAAATGTAACAGTACATAAAACACAATCACACATTAAAGTAACTATCCCTCACTCAAAGACAGATCAAAAAGCCCATAAAACAACACTCATCATTTATAAAGAGTTGGATACTGTCTTGTGTCCAGTTCGAGCTGTCAGCAGTTATTTGAACATTCGCCCCTTAACATCACCATTAGACCCCCTTTTCATTCACATCAACTCAAAACCTTTAACAAGATATCAATTTAACGCAGTCCTTCAGAAAGCCCTTGTCTCTACAGGTAAACAGGGGCATTTCTGTACCCATAGTTTCAGAATAGGGAGGGCAACAGATATGGCCCTACATGGGGTGTCAGATGAGGTCATAAAAGCCTCTGGTAGGTGGAAGTCACAAGTTTACTCCTCTTATGACAGAATGTAATTAGTTTTTAACAAGTTTAAAAAAAAAAAAAAAAAAAAAAAAAAAAAATTTATAATCCAAGCAAAGTTTTTCAGGTGTCCTGAAAAACATTTGGATAGTGGGATCCTCAATCCCTTATTGGGCCGGAGAGCTGGCTGCCACCCAGCCGGGTGGCAGGAACCTTAACCTACCAGCCTGCATCAAATGGCATGCCATTAGGGGATTGCATTGGCAACAACTCGACCCTCACATCTTGA